TGAGGCTTTGCCGGACCTCCTTGATCCTCATATCCCCGTACACTCATGCAAATGTTCATAGACTACCTGAGATTACATCTGTTTCCTCTGATCTCTTGCTGGACCCCAGTGGGAACTCACATCCTTCTACACCAGGGACATCTCAGGCTACTGGAATGGTGCCTCTCCGGGGATTCTGTTTTGTCCCAATTGTTCCACAAGCAACTCTGGACTTCCTGGCAGGAGCTTGAGCTCCAGGAACAAGGAAATCCTATCTCCATGCCTGGAATTCAAGGAATGGTTGGTGCATGGAACAACACATGGATCCCATATCTGCACCTGTGAGTCATGTTTTGAGGTTCCTTACTTCGCTTTCTGACCATGGCCTTGCCTATCGTACAATAAATTTATATAGATCGGCTATCTCGGCAGGTTACCAGGGTTGGAACGGATTTCCTGCAGGTAAACATCCCTTGATATGTCGACTCCACGGCATTAGGTTGGCACTTCCACCATGTCCTAAATATTCCTCCTTATGGGATGCGGGCCTTGTTCTACGACTTTTTGAAACTTGGCCAAAGAATGAGGACCTTTCGCTCAAGCAACTCACGGCAAAACTTGTTATGCTGTTTTGTCTAATCTCCTGTAAACGTGTCTCAGATGTTTTTGCACTGAACATTACAGCACATTCATTTACTTCAGATGGCGTTTCCTTTGATATTTCAAGATGTACAAAGACATCCATTACCTTTATCCATCTTTTCCACATAATGTTAACCTGTGTCCAGTGGCCTGTCTGAAGGAATATGAAGAGAGGACCTCTTCAGAACGTGACCCTATATATCCTGATTTGTTTCTGGCACTTTGACATCCACATCATCCCGTTTCTAAAGTTACCTTTTCTCGTTGGGTTAAATGTGTATTCTCAATGTCTCTATACTGTTATGTTTTACTGTGTATTAGACACAAGTCCCTGCCACATATATGCTCTTTCACCAGTTGTTACATCACGGTCGCAGGTGTCAGCAAAAAGCAATACGATTAATCTACTAAATTTATCGCCAAGTTGAAATCGCTAGCATATCTGATCTTAACATTGCCTTACCTTATCTAACATAACTTGTCAAGCTCAGGTCTAGATCTACAGTTAAGCTCGTTGTTTTACTTTACCTAACATAGCTTGTCATTCTCAGGCCCAGACCTATAAATAAGCTTGTTGTTTTACTTTACCTAACATAACTTGTCAATCTCAGGTCCAGACCTATAGTTAAGCTTACTGTTTATTATACTATAAAATTGTGCATGTCCTATCTATAACCCCTCGTGTAATGCATGATGCCATGCCTGAGGATTGCTGTTGGGGTACCTCAAGCTTGTTTGTACTAACCTTATGCACTGCAAAAATACAAAATAAAAAAAATAGGTGAGATTGGATTTTTTTTCAATTTCACTAATTTGGTCTATAGTTTTCAATTCAGGTTTCAATTAACCATAATTAATGGGACACTATAGTCACCCAGACCACTTCAATTAGCTGTCCCAGGTCCCTTAATCCTGCAGTGGTATTTTTTGCAGTTTTTAATAAACTGCAAAAATTACCTTTGATGGTTAACTCCCCCTTTATGGCTGTCTACAGACAGCCACTAGAGGGACTTCTGGGTCAATAGCCGACTTTTGGTTGCCTGACGCTGGACATCCTCAACGCTATACATTAGAACATCCAGTGTCATGTGAAACCAGGGAAAGCATTATACATGCTTTCCTATGGGGGAAATACTAATGTGAGCACGGCCATTGCCACGCATGTGCATTAGGTCTCCCCCGTCAGCTGATTTCGGCAAGTTAGGAGCGGAGGCAACCCAAACCAGGGCTGAAGGTCATCTGCGCTTGACTCAGCTGAGTGACAGAAGTTTTTTTTAACCCCTTCTGCACCATGGGGTGGCCACGACAGAGGGGGGCACTAAAGTTGTTTTCCTGGCACTATAGTTTTCCTTTAACCACCATAAGTTCTTAAGCTCTTAAATGGGCACAATAATAATTTAATCTCATTGCACTGGTTATAGTGCCTGGAGTCACAAGGCGCTGTCCCTCCATTCAATGTCAAATCATTTTCATGCAGTTTAACACAAGATGATAATCCATGGCCACCCACAACTTGGCCTGCACTGGATGTATAGCTTAGGCAAAGATTAAACACTTTCTTAGTCCTTTACCAATTTATAACAGAACAAACAAAATGAATGATTAAAAAATTACATAATAAAACAAACCTTAGGTACAATATCACTACAATTGGGTTTTATTTTGCAATCTTTCATTTTGTGGAAATAAACCTGTGAAACATTTATTGGGTGTGTGAATATTTCTATCTTGGTCCAAAGCCAAATGATATCGTGTTAAGGGAGTGCCACCCTCTTGGCACGATGCTGCAACTACCTGGGGCCAGGATTCTAAGGCTCCCAACCAGGAGAGCAAGTTTTCCACCTGTGTTCTCCCTGCATTGTGAAGATACTACACTAGTTTGGGTGTGTCTCTGTTTCTTATTCCTTTGAAATTGCATATTAAGTTGTCTCTGGAAAAGGTAATGCACAAAGCCTAAAGATTTGAGCCATCCTATCAGGCTCCATCAAATATGAGTGGTTTGACTCACATTTTTTACCCTGTGGTGTTGATTTCAATAAAGTATTACGCTATTTTTTTTTCTTTTATATTCTATATGGAGTTATATACTGTCACAGGTTCGTGAGTCTATTGCTGTTATTCCTCCAATCCTCCACTAGTCTTAATTCCAGATGTGCTGAATATAGCAAAAGTATTCCCTTTGTGTAGAGTTTCCCCAATATAATGGACGCAACCAGTCATATTGGGTAAAAGCAGCAATCTGACTTTATTAGGCAACACTCAGCTTTTTATCTAGCGCCCCTAGCATGGGGTTTCTAATACAAAATCACAGGGGTTTCCTTCCCACAAGCCACTGTGTTTGAGAGATAATTGAGCTCCAATTAAGCTATTTCAATTATCTCTAAAATAGGAAAATGTACATAACATTTTTACACATCACAAAAATACATGACAACAGCATCGGATCCCCACAAAAATATTCCTGAATAGCCCCGATCTGAGCGCACAACATATCCAAAAAGCACTCAGATTGGTTCAGTAAAACTAAAGTTATGTTCGTGCATATATGAATTGGCTGCCTGGTAGAGGCGGTATTGTCAATTTGATTGTATGGGAGGTCAGAGCTTACAACCTGAATTCCACTTTGAAGCTGGGAACCCAGCAGAGCTACTCTGTAAGGTGTGAGAAGTCACACATAAGTGGCCTGGAAGTCTGGTTTCAGTATAAGTTAACATTCTCATTTGCAATATGTCTTGATTCCCTCTTAGATAAGGAGTCCTTTAATATGAACAAGCCTTGCGTTCTAATATCAGATCCAAAAGAGACATTAATACCTATCCACAGATTATTACTCAAGCCTAATTTATTATCATATTTAGAATGGGACCAGCACAATCTTCCAATCAAGCCTCAACATGATTTTATTAAAGGACACGGAGGCTCATATTAGGCTTTATCTCTTTCTTTATTCCTCAGCAGCAAAGAAAGGATATTGATATTTTTAATATAGCAATAACAAGAAAAAAACAACAAATACCCTTAAAGGACCACTATAGTGCCAGGAAAACATACTCGTTTTCCTGGCACTATAGTGCCCTGAGGGTGCCCCCACCCTCAGGGTCCCCCTCCCGCCCGGCTCTGGAAGGGGAAAGGGGTAAAAACTTACCTTTTTCCAGCGCTGGGCGGAGAGCTCTCCTCCTCCTCTCCGCCTCCGTTACGCCCCGCCGGCTGAATGCGCACGCGCGGCAAGAGCTGCGCGCGCATTCAGCCGGTCTCATAGGAAAGCATTTACAATGCTTTCCTATGGACGCTGGCGTGCTCTCACTGTGAAAATCACAGTGAGAAGCACGCAAGCGCCTCTAGTGGCTGTCAATGAGACAGCCACTAGAGGATTAGGGGGAAGGCTTAACCCATTCATAATTATAGCAGTTTCTCTGAAACTGCTATAATTATGAAAAAATGGGTTAACCCTAGAAGGACCTGGCACCCAGACCACTTCATTAAGCTGAAGTGGTCTGGGTGCCTAGAGTGGTCCTTTAAGGGTTAACCATATAACATTCCAAACATATTAACCAATGGGATCATTCCTTGTTCTATGTCCCCTCATGTGACCTAAGCCACTCCCGCTTTCTTTGCTGCTGCCTCAGCTAAGTACCACATATTGTTTCTGCTCTAAAAAAATTGTATTGTATTTACTGTGTTTTTTCATATTACTGTACCTGCTTAATATGTCATTATTTTCTGCTAGTTTATCTATAATTTACTGTATGGTTATTTATATCCTGCTTTGTTTCCGTTTGTCTTCAGTGCAGTATACTTGCCCCTACCCTGGGGCAAGCCCCCATCCTGCACTGCCATTTCGGGTTGTTTACAACCCGTTATTCCCTGGGTAGGGAGCGCTCCCGGGACCCCGAGGCGCCCCCCCACCCACTCCTCACCTCCCCGGCTCATAACGAGCAGCTTAGCCACCCCACAGATCGCGGCCATTAATATAACCACTACATAGACCTCCCACGCATTACGGCGGCCATCTTGTGGTTGGCAAAATTTGCTGCGCTTTCGCCCGTCGCTCACGCCGCTCATTCAGGGAGGGGCGCGAGCTGATTGGCTAGTGGAGGTGTTGGGCAGCTTACCAGCGTCACCCAGGATTCATTCCTGAGGGAACACTCGGTAAGCTGCCATATTATTTGTGCCAATTCTTTTGTTTGTGCCTCACTAGTTGTACCCTTGCCCTAAGTGCCTATATACTGTATACAGTGTGGTTTTAGGCCAGTTACCTTGAGCCTCTGGGTCATAAACCACTGCAGTTATGTCAGTGTGCCCTGTGCCCTTTCCCATTGGTGCCATACTGACTAGTGCCTTATCCAGTACAACCTTTGTAGTGACACATCCTGACTAGTATGCAGTCCCCTGCTGATAAACAGGTTATTACCCCCTCCACCTCTGCTAAGCCCAGCAAACACGGTACAACAGTTCTGTCTACAGGCACTGCTGCCACTGGGGGCGTTGAGGAAGCATCCCAGAAGCACGCAAACTCAGAAGAGTTGCAGGCGCTCCTGGATGCTACAATGAGTAGGTCAGTTACACAGGCCATTTTTAACGCCATGGGAGTGATGTCAGACACCCTGTCACACTCTATCTCATCCGCTATCATGGCATCCAGCCAAACCCCCGGCTCAGCACCCCCTATACCCTCGGATAGCAAGTTAATGGTACCAAGCAGCCGCAAGGCTTCATGCAAATCGCACCATCTACCAGGTGCTGCCTCCAAAACCAGTATGACGGACAGGTTGCGCCCTGTTGAGACTGAGGACGTGGTGCTCCTACGTAAAAGAGCCCCCTGCCGGGCAAAAGTGGTGCGGAATTGGAAGAGGGCAAAAGCCCTACCTGATTCGGACTCAGAGGAGGTTTTAGATGGGTCCGATGCCATCGACCCAGTTTATTCAGATAACTTGTCCCCCAAATACAGCGAGAATGCACCTCCAGCGATAAGACGCTGAGCAGGAGATGGATTATTCCGCAGTTTTAGTCCCCCAAGGGGAACCCCTCTTTGACCCTGACACCTTGCACAATCCGCGTTCGGCGGACTGGTACCCCACAACTCATGTGGCCATTTATATAGCGACCAGGGTGAGGAAACTTCTCGATAAGGCCGCAAGGAGCAAGCAGAGGGCGGAATGCCCACGCCCCACTGTCCCAGACATGGCCTGCGTGACCCCCGAGGTGGACCCCAAGATCACCCAGTTCCTGGGTAAGTCGGGATGGAAGGCCAAAAAGGGACTGTACTATTCCCTAAAACATTGCCAAGACAAGGTCCTAGACATACTCAGGCCTAAAGCCAAAATCTTTGACATGGTCGAAACGGCCCTTACTGAGGGGACCTCAATTGATTTAATTGATCAGGGGATGGATCCAGAGAGGCCTATGCCTAATTGGAAACGCCAATACCGCTTTGGCCACAGAACAGTGTAAAGCCATACTAATGAAAATGGAGCCAAAATTGATACATCTGGCAATCTCCGAGCCTGGCACACAGGCAAAAGGTCTCCTTTTCGGAGACAACTTTGTCAAAACCCTGGGCAATTATGTCAGCACTTTCACGGCACTAGATAAGGCATAACATAATATGAACACAAAGTCTGAATACTAGTACAGGCTACAGGGCGCCACAGCCACTAAACCATATAACAATATGGTATAGAATAATCCCATAAATGAAGAGTATTCCGTGGAAATAAAAAGTCCACTTTATTGAAACAGTAGTATCCAAAAGTGCAACATGCACAATATGGATGAAATAACAATATTAAAAATAAATGTACAACCAAAATGGACCAAGAACCCCTATGGATAGCAGCTATAATCATACAAGAGAAAATAGTAAAGTGCCAAGTGCAAAAGTGCAAGTGCCAGTAGTTCAAAAACAGCATAAAGTGCACAAATACTATAAGATGGAATGCTTGTAGAAAAAGACTGCTATACCAAAAACTGCAGGGATCTTGGAGGTGCTCAACGCGTTTCATCGATGTCGACTTCTTCAGGAGATTGCTAGATTGCTGTTGGTCCTCTTCTTCTTTTAAATCCGCCGGTCTGGCCGCCATTAATTGATCGCGCATGCGCGGACCGTACCGTGCGGCTGGTCGGAAGGCGCATGCGCTAACCAAGCTGGAACGCAAATAAACTTTATGTATAATGTATACAGCCACAAAATGAGCAAAACTCCACTTGGAGTGCTCATAGCAATTGCGGTCTGAATTTACAGACCTGCCTATATCCAGTCTAAGTTATATTACATATGTGGCATCCTAAATCAAGATGCAAATTGGGCCAGATAAGATAAAAATGTAAATAGGGCCAACACACAATAAAAATCACTTTGTATGCAGCTATAACGCTGTATAAAAAATATATAATATAAAATATATATGCATACATATATGTGTATATATGTAAACAGAAAAAATAAATAAAATGTAGAAAAATGAAAAAATGAGGAGAAAATGAAAAAATGAGGAGAAAATAAGGAAAAAAGCTTAAAAGCCCATTTGCATCACTACATTCATAATTTGAATACATATATTTTACTAAGGCTAACATAGAAAGAACTATCTTTTCAATGTCATAATAGATCATTAGTATAAGATGTCAAGAAATCAAAAATCCAATTTATCTGAATAAATATAAAAAGTGAAAGATAAAAACAAATCCCAGCAATATAAATTTAATCATAAAAACATATTTAGAAGAGAAAGAAGTGAATAAAATCAGACATATGATAGCAAATATACTAAAAAATATATATAATAGATCACAAGGTAAAAGCCCCTATATGATGAGAAAAATAATACTATATAAGATCCAAAGAGTAAAAATAATTTTTCTTATTGTTTCGTTCTTCATTGCACATAAAAAGGGGATAGCTGCTATCCATAGGGGTTCTTGGTCCATTTTGGTTGTACATTTATTTTTAATATTGTTATTTCATCCATATTGTGCATGTTGCACTTTTGGATACTACTGTTTCAATAAAGTGGACTTTTTATTTCCACGGAATACTCTTCATTTATGGGATTATTCTATACCATATTGTTATATGGTTTAGTGGCTGTGGCGCCCTGTAGCCTGTACTAGTATTCAGACTTTGTGTTTATTTTATATAGGGGTTTAGAGTGACCTCAATACAGTGGCTTGCCTACACTAAAGTTTGGACCTATTATCACCCACATCACCCTTCTATTTATCTTTTTTTACAACATAATATGAAGCGTGTGTTCTCGCAAGGTTTTCGGTGGGGCCGGCAGACGCCTGGGTCCTAGAGACCATGCTAGGCTACCACATCGAATTCACACAACAACCGATTCAATTCTTATTACCGCATCGGATTGTTTTTTCCCCACGAGATGAAAAATCTGGTATCAGAAGAGATTCACACAATAGAGGAGAAAGGTGCGATCTACAAAGTCTCGGCTATTGCCCCTGGTTTCCTAAGCAACATCTTCTTAGTGCCCAAGAAAGGTGGGGGCACGAGACCAGTAATAAACTTGCGGCCTCTCAACGCCTTTGTCACATACCATCACATCAAGATGGAAGGTATACACTGCCTCTGAGACCTCCTAAGACTGGGAGACTGGATGGTAAAACTTGACCTCCAAGATGCATACCTCATGATACCGATCGCCGAGGAATGTCACCACCTACTTCAATTCCAATGGGAAAAGACTATGTGGCGTTTCTGTTGCCTCCCTTTCGGCCTGTCCTCAGCCCCGTGGTGCTTCACCAAGCTGCTGAAACCGGTAGTCGCTCTTCTCCGCAGCAGAGGTGTACATATGATCATATACCTCGACAATATGCTGATCATGGCCCACGACACTCATCTACTGAACCAGCATCTATCCTGGGCGTTGACCCTTCTGCAAAACCTGGGTTTCCTAATCAACTAGGACATGTCAATCCTGCAACCTTCCCACTTGATAAAGTTTCTGGGTTTCAATATAGATGCAATTCACAGAATTCTCAGTTTACCTACCATGAAGGTAAAACTCATTAAGAAAGAAATCCGGCGGACATTGACATGGCCAGTCTTAACACTACAGCAGCTAGCCAGGATAATTGGCCTGCTCTCCGCTTCCATACAAGCGATCTTCCCAGGACCTCTCCATTACAGATCCCTGCAACAGCTCAAAGCAACTCACCTACGCTTGGGTCAATCCTACTCAGATTCTGTACCTCTAGACTGCGCAGCAAAAGAGGAACTGGCATGGTGGCTTCAACACATGGAAGCATGGAACGGCAAGGCGATCTTCGGAACCACCCCGGACCTCATCATAGAATCCAATGCAAGCAGACTCGGGTGGGGTGCTCGTTGTGGTCCCACCTCTACAGGTGGAAAATAGTTCTCAAAAGAAAAAGAACTCCACATCAATGGTTTGGAACTCCTAGCTGGGTCATTCGCCCTCCGGAGCCTCCTCGGACACACGACCAATTGTTCCATACTTCTGCGCATGGACAATATCTCGGCCGTTCGCTACATCAATCACTTGGGTGATATAGACCTTCCCAGATTGATCCCAGGATCCACGGAACTATCAGACCCCGATGGGAATTCTCATCCACTTCTTGTGCAAGGCCACCTCAGACTTCTAGCGTGGCTCCTCTCAGGGGACCCTGGACCATGCCGAATGTTTCACAAACAACTTTGGACTTATTGGCAGGAGCTTTGGCCCCAGGAACAAGATGATCCTATACTCATGCTTGGAACACATGATGTAGCTGGTGCGTGGAACACGTGGATTCCCTATGTGCTCCTGTAAATCATGTCCTGGGTTTCCTTACTACCCTATATGATCAAGGCTTGGCCTACCGCACCATAAACGTGTATAGATCAGCGATTTCAGCTGGACACGACTGATGGCAGGGTTTCCCGGCTGGGAAACACTTATTGGTTTGTCGTCTTCTACGAGGCATCAAAATTGCACGTCCACCAAAACCCCGCTACATGGCCTTATGGGATGTTAATATGGTCCTTTGTTTATTGGAAGGCTGGCATCCAAACTCAGATCTCACACTCAAACAAGTGTGCGCAAAATTAGCTATGCTCCTGGGCTTAATTTCCTGCAAAAGGGTGTCAGACGTTCGAGCCCTGGATATTGATGCACGATCCTTCACCCCATACGGTGTCCTGTTTAATATCACCAGACATACAAAGTCGAAAATCACGTCAGTCTTCTATCCCTCCTTTTTTTACAATGCTAACCTCTGCCCGGTGGCATGCCTCCAGGAATATGAACTGTGGACCCATTCATTCCGGAACCCAACAATACACAACCTGTTCTTGGCGGTGAGGAAACCTCATCACTCAGTATCCACGGTAACCCTGGCACGCTGGATGAAATGGATAATGTCAGCTGCTAACATCGACACATCAGTTTACATAGCTCATTCTACTAGAGGCGCTATGGCATCTAAAGCATTCTCCATTGGTTGTAAATTGGAAGAATTTCTCTGCACAACGCATTGGTCCCGAGAATCGACGTTCAAAGAGTACTATTTTCGTCCAGAAGAACATATCTCATCTATGGTTATCTCGCAGCTTTAAACTAGCTGTCCTTTAATAAAATGACCAGATTTTACTAATTACATAACGTAAAGTCATGATTTTATTAAGGACACGGAGGCGAGTATTAGCCCGCCCAATGACAGGTAAGTCATACATTTTATCTTCCCACCCAATTGCCTATAAACAGGTAGGAGTGATTTGGATGTTCAGGCGAACCAATATATACTAATATTAATTTTGGTTTTGAATTTTGCTGGACTCAAGGAAAATGATTTAGGATATGAACGTTTCTTTAAAAACTTGCACAGCTTATATACATGACATCGATATTTTAATATATTTTACCTACAGCTTAACCCTATAATGGAGTAATAAGGATCATCCTCTCCTTCCTAACTACACCGGAAGAAACTCACTGGAACCCTCTACCTGAGACTGTTCAAGTTTATCGTTTTTTCCTGTTGATGTGTTCAGCTTCGGCGTCAGCTAGAAAGATGGAGTGGCTTAGGTCACGTGAGCGGACATAGAACAAGGACTGATCCCATTGGTTAATATGTTTGGAATGTTATATGGTTAACCCTTAAGGGAATTTGTTGTTTTTTTCTTGTTATTGCTATATTAAAAATATCAATATCCTTTCTTTGCTGCTGAGGAATAAAGAAAGAGATAAAGCCAAATACTCGCCTCCGTGTCCTTAATAAAATCATGACTTTACGTCATGTAATTAATAAAATCTGGTAATTTGCAACAAAGGGACCCCATAGAGTCTGTTCGGTAAACAAACAGAAAGGAACAATTCCATTTGAATGCAGGGAAACATTAGACAATACAAAGTATAATTAAGGGAATACATACGAGGAGTCCCATCTCCCGTGACATATACCCTATATGTATTGGGGCTGTATAATGCTCCACTGTCACAGAGCTTTGTTTTGGTTAATTTAATATTTGGTATGGTACACAGGAAGGGCGTTCCACACTTGTGTTTTAGTGAATTATATATATGGTATAAAAGTGCCATATACACATTTTTGTTTTTTATAATTATTATATAGACATTTTTCATCTTTCAGAAGTTGTGTCTCTATAGGACACTTTTTGCATGCTTGGCGGTAATATCAAATATTTACTTTGAGGCATTTATGGTTGGCTTGTATATTAAAGAAATTGCTAAATATGGTTTGCCAAATAAGCCAGTCCTTCTAGGCATGTACCCACAGATGTCTAAGCTATTTATCCATGCTATAAATCATACCTTCGTGACCACTGATGCAGCGGTACTGTACAACTGAAAGGTGATTCAAGACCAAGCCTTTTTTTTCCGTGATCATGCATACTTTGGTCTTTCACTATGAAAGAGAAAGCTTGACCCAAAAACTAACAAATTCTAGATCAAATTTTTATTGGTTCTGCAACTATTTCTTTAAACGAATACACAAGTAAGAGTCATTTAGGGGTTTTGATGCAACTTGCGTGAACTAAGTCCTTTATTTAATATTATTGGATAAGCTTTCCATATTATAGAATTTTTTTGATACCCTTTTAAAATTATTTAATATTACAAAAAATATTTAAATTCTGTAATACTTAGATTTTTTTTATATATCAATGTATTTTTTATATTTTAATATGTTGAAAAAATCATTTTAAAACATTACTCAAAAATATTAAATCATGGGGGCGGAGCCTAACTACCGAGCAGACAAGACGTGCAAAGAGAGAGCTCCCGAGTCTGGAGCTAAGATTCAGGGCATACCGCCCGACCACCCGAGCACATCGACTGCTAACCGCGATAACTGTAATAAGACTGAACTGCACCCGGGGATACCTGACACTTGGTTCCCCAGTGCTAAGCGGACTGCATCGCGACCTGCGTGGGTGGGAGCTGAGGAGAGACGGCCGCTCTCCGTATTCCCATATAACCTCCTGAGCTGCTTCTGGCCTGCACGATCCTGCGAGCCCTGCAAAGCTCCCAAGCCACATGGGCCCGGAGACACACAAGATGGCGGACACACCAGGCACTGCAGCACTAAGCCAGATACTGCCACAGTCAAATAGAGCAGACCCACAGGCAACAGCAACTGACACTCTGGGGGCCATATTCGAAAACTTTTGGTCCATGCTACTCAGCCGCGCAAGATAGGCACAGGCTAAAGGGGGGCCTGCAAGAGGAGCACACGCACGCACTGAGAAGCGGCCTGGGCAGCCTCCTATGAGCCGACACTCATCCCGCAACAACCCGACAATCTTGAAGCGACAAACATCCTGCCCACCACAGCCATACAGAAACGAGCCCTCAAACACCACAGCCTGTTCCACACTGCATGGGAAAACCTCTGTGGCCACCACTGGGCCGCCCCACGGATCACCTGAAGCTGGGAAGCTACGCACCGATCGAGACCCACCACCCGGCAGGTCACTATTTTATTGGACAGTCTGGGCACGCTGGTAACTATGCAGAGCTGGGGCAGGGGATGCAGCATGACCCGCGACACTAAGGCCTCCTGGGACTCTTGTGTAGACGCCTGGCCCTTACCGATCACGGGGGTCGGCGGACCGTCGCTACCTCACCGAGAGTTGGCCTGATGCCACGCCACCACATCCACGTCGTTATCCTGGACTCTATCCAATCCTATTATTACTTTGCCTTGACCCCACGGAGCTAAGTTAGGCGTAGAAAGATAAATAGCATGTGGGCATTGTTTAAACCAAGCGACTACACTTTAGCCTGAATATGCGTTAACACAAACTAATTCTCACCTGAACAAATCACACTTAGGTTGTAACAGACTACAGCTAACCTAATGTACGGCACACTATACACACTGGCCTGCACACCCAGACTCAAGGTGTAACATTACACTTAATTTAGTTTACCACGAAAAAGCGAAGTTTCACCTTAGCTAGTACACTGGAGCAGCACAGGTGTGATTACCTAAATCAAGTGACAACCGTATTATTAAAGGAGACACGTTAGCAATGTTAAGCATGTCTATGAAACAAAATGTGCAATCCTCATATGTCACTGTTTGGATTAACTATATTATTAGACTAGTACTAACCAAGCCTGATAACCTAACCATGTCAATCTTTAACCTACTCGGAAAAATGTGCATTGTTTACTTATTCCCCACTGTATCTATTGTTTTGAAATCAGTATGTGGAATGCTGTTGGGGTACCACATGCATGTCTGTTACCACCATATGCACTGCAAAAATAAAGAATTAAAAATAAATATATATATATATATATATATATATATATATATATATATATATAAAAAATCATTTAGAAAGCGTATTCAACAATATTAAATCGAGGCCTAAGTGTGTGTTTCCATTTTCTCTTGATTTATATTCTTCCTTTTTTTTCTATTATCTCCATGTACATTTTACTTATGTATCTGCCAGTTTTATGTAAACCTGGATAGGGAACTATGAAGCTTAGTGTTAAGTGTGTCTTATAGATAAAAACATTATGTCTGGTGCACTATTGTTGCTGGTATGGAAGTGAAATGTATATGTGACTTGTAACTGCATTTTTAAATAAATAAACAAATCTGATTTAATGATCTGTGGTTGAGCTTGGAGCCTATCATTGAAATATATTATATTGTCCAAACATTATCCATAAGGCGATCTCAGAAGATGAGCAGCCAGTTGATTAAATACATAATTAATCCTTTTTTTTATCTGAAGTAGAGGCCCAATAAACTAAATGAGCATAGGAAAACTGACATTATAAAAATGTATTTATAATGTTATAGAGGGTTCCTTTAATGAAGATTATATGAGCCTTATTTCCTGGAAAGCTTTCTTGTTCCACACAAAATGCATTTACAACCTGTCATATGGGCTGAATATGTAGGTTACCTATTGCTAAGTGTTTTATATTAGTTTACATTTTGTTTACTTTATTGCATTTTTCCTGTGTTGTGTCCAGAGTTCTCCGTGTCCACTACGTTTTTAGTTTGGTAACTTTGGTCTGCAAATTGAAACTCACTTAGAATTTCTGACAATTCACACTTTAGTAAATAACCTTGAATTAATCAAAATTGTAACTGTCATGCCAATTCCCCTAGTTTGGGAAGATATGTTATGAATATGAGTAAAATCACTGATTCAAAGAACCAAACGATCAAGTGAGATTATTTGGACTGATTTAATGTCTAGATTCTGTTTAAACAGATAACCATATATCTTGCAATTGAATGGTGATTTTCCCAAAGATGTAAAATAAAGAATTGCTATTCAGTTACCAGAATTTAAGTATACCTCTTGTAATAAATTCCATCTTTAATGGAGTGGATTGAATCCTTTCAAAATAATTCAGCTGGAAAACATGTCAGTGTTATATGCAAATATGTGCAAAACTAAAAAAAACTGTTCACTGTAAATATTTCAAATAAAAAGTATTTAATTTAGGGTTATTTTCTGGATCAGTACAGCAAAGCTAACAATATTTCATTCAATACTGGATGTGTTTATTTAAATACTGATATTAAAGTCCAGTAGATTAAACTCCTGCTCTAATGGAATGCTGTTTTCATCAAGCAAAAAGCGGCTACTTATTTTTAAAATGTAAGATTCTCTAGTTTCTGCTAAAAGAGAGTGGCACAGATCTGCTACAACCATTGCATATGTCACGGTACTAGAGCATAACACAGCTTTATTGAGTGAACTGGGAGGTATGTTTAGAAAGATTTTCTGTAGAATATTTGAAGACACATGAACACGAATTTCACACTCCTTATTCTTAATAGTCATTACCGCTGGCCTATAAAAATCTGTTACTTTGTTGAATGGTAGACAGCTAAGGCACTGTTCATAAACATGATTTTCATCTGTCCTTAACTCTTTTTGGCACTTTCCACAGCCCGAGTATATGATTTTAGGTAAATATACCATTATATGTGAAAAGGGAGTTCTCATATTCAATGAGATGTGCTGGTGATACAACATAGGAAATAGCAACTCTGAAATAGATGCTTTAAGCACAATGTCACCAGTGTATTTCTCATCTAGGAGACATAAAAGATCCATTTCTTTTGTGTTACTTTCTTTGTTTTGAAGATACCACTTTTTAAAGTCAACAGCCCGACTGTCATCATCAAACAAGCATTCGCAAGATGACCAAGGGGTAGTGTGCAATTCTATGTCTCCAGAAACTGAATTTCTGTGGGAAAACAAGTGTCTAAATTCCCAAATGTGGTCTTTCTTCGGTCTTATCCAATCAAGCCAAGAAATGCAGGCTCCCCATAGGACAATGGTGCCAGTATGCCCTTTAATCTGTTCTACAGCCAGAATTATTTTATTTTGCTTCTGTCCTTTGTAGTGATAAATGCACTCTGTTAAAATGGAAATATCAGTAACCTTTAATATTGAATGAACTAAAGTTTCTGGTTGAAGCTGCTCAATCTTTAAATATGGTATAGATCCCATGTTCTTAGGCTTCCGTGGTGGAAGATTACTGAGATAGTGATGCTTGGTAGATATATAATCCAACAGGTCTTTAAGAACTGTGCATTCAATCCTTGAGCTGTCTTGGCACAAAATCGAACAGCTACCAAGATTTAAAAATTTGCTTTTAGCAGTTGATTGCAGTACTGTTTCATCATTCCATCTATTGTCACAAACTATTAAGTGTTTGAGAATTATGATATCTCCAGGGAACACTTCTAAAGTCCAAAATGCAGCAGATCTCCACAACACTACTTTACGTTCAACCACTGAGTGATCCAAAACAACAATGGTTGCTAACGGAATGGAAATACCAGCATTTGGTTTCGTTTTGACTTCCTTTATATGACAGGGGTGCACTACTACTGCTAATATATTGTATTCTTTAGCTTTGTCAGAACAGTATTTAAGAGTTACTAATGAGTCAAACCATTTTAGGAAAGTATCTTGACTAATTTTTAAATGTAATTTATTTGGTGAGCTGGATGGTTTATATTTTTTACACTTCTGTTGCATTCCGGAGAGAGAATATGAAGAAGGACACATGTCTTTGAAAACCCTAGGTCTTTTAGATGCAGCATTTTTAAAATTATAGGAATGACTAGGTTCCCCAAAATGAAGGTTTGATAACCCTGGCAACTCTCTCACATCTTCCTGATTGGATGGGAGATGTTTAGAGGATGGTGCTTGATAAGAATCATTCGATGTTGGTGTAAAAAGTTCTAGAGAGCCATCAGATTTTGCGATGGGTTCTTTGCAATTGCATGGTTCACTAAATTCAGCATTTGTATCTTCACTTTTATTTTCTGTTTGGGTACAGGTAACACCATGCTCAGAAATCACCTCGTGACCATGGTGGGCAATCTGGCTCGATGTCAAAACAGTCTGAAACTCAATATCTGTTGTGGTCACCTCCTTGTTCTCACTAGGTACTCCTTTCTCTTCCAGGTGCTCTGGTCGTCTAGGAAACATAGCATCTAGATAATCCTGAATAATTTCACCATTTTGCACAGTTCTTTGAGGACTTGTAATTACCTGTAACTGTTTAGTGCTGGATACCAAAGCAGCTATTCTGCCGTCATGCTGACGTTTATGTCCTTCACTTTTAAAATTAGGAAAACTGTGTGACGTGGAGAGCAGATCAGAGGCACACACATCGCTGTTTCTTTCAACAGATTGTGCCTCAGATTTATTCTTTACAACGATGTCAGCATCTAATTCATTATATTTCAAGGTGGTATTTGAAGCCTGGCAGTCTGTTTGTAAACATGAGTTATTGTCATTATTTATGTAAAACAGTTCATTCCACTTGGGCATATCACCATCTGAAGCATGCTGTTCGTCTCTGTCCACCTCATGGGATAAAATAACTGGGGCTCCAATAAACACATGAACTGCTCCTTGCTTGGACATCCTCTGTGTTAATTTAATGACCCATTGCCTATTAATGTAACCTAGTCCACTAAATGCGGTCTCCTCCAGGCACTGACCAACACCATGGCTTTTGTTCAACACACAAAATGCTGCTCACAGCACGCGTCCTCATTCTGTTTACTTCCGGATGACAGTACGAGATTGCGTTCCAAGCCTCGATTCACAGCTTGCGTTTCAAGCCTCGATTCCGAATTCATCGTCCCTTTTGAATGTTTTCCATAAGAAAGGATTTTGAATAAACCGTGTGTTTTTTTTTGTTGTTGTTTTTTTTAACACGCATTTCTGACACGCATGAATACATCCCTTTTCGTTCACAGAACCCATTGACTGCAATGGCAACCTGGCTTGTCACGTGGTTAGGGATCCACTTACGGCGCCTGCGCGACTCTCGTTGTCATGGTAACGAGTCGCTACGGTCTTAACTGTGTTGCGTTGTACAGATAGGCTCGACGGGCATCATTTAATTCAGCCCACGCTGGTGGAGTACAGGATCCCGGGAGGAAGATGGTGAGGAGGGATAGGCTGTAGTGAGCATGTCTGCTACTGGAGGGAGGGATATTAACTAAATATATCGTGTTATTAATGAATAGTGCGCATTGTGCCATATCGATTCTTCATAGCTGCCAGAATGGAGTCATCTAAAGACATCACATCTGCGTTATGCTATGTGTTATAGTAAAAACATGTCTGGAAACTCTCAGAAATTACAATATGCACACAAACAGTTATAGGCAAACACAGGCAGTCACAACCACACAAACAGTTATAGGCAAACACAGACAGTCACAACCACACAAACAGTTATTGGTAAACACAGGCAGTCACAACCACACAAACAGTTATAGGCAAACACGGGCAGTCACAACCACACAAACAGTTATAGGCAAACACAGCCGTCACAACCACACAAACAGTTATAGGCAAACACAGCCGTCACAACCACACAAACAGTTATAGGCAAACACAGGCAGTCACAACCACACAAACAGTTATAGGCAAACACAGGGCCACAACCACACAAACAGTTATAGGCAGCCAGACACAGGCAGTCACAACCACACAAACAGTTATAGGCAAACACAGGCAGTCACAACCACACAAACAGTTATAGGCAAACACAGGCAGTCACAACCACACAAACAGTTATAGGCAGCCAGACACAGGCAGTCACAACCACACAAACAGTTATAGGCAAACACAGGCAGTCACAACCACACAAACAGTTATAGGCAGTCACAACCACACAAACAGTTATAGGCAAACACAGGCAGTCACAAACACACAAACAGTTATAGGCAAACATAGGCAGTCACAACCACACAAACAATTATAGGCAAACACAGGCAGTCACAACCACACAAACAGTTATAAGCAAACACAGGCAGTCACAACTACACAAACAGTTATTGGTAAACACAGGCAGTCACAACTACACAAACAGTTATTGGTAAACACAGGCAGTCACAACTACACAAACAGTTATTGGTAAACACAGGCAGTCACAACCACACAAACAGTTATAGGCAAACACAGGCAGTCACCACCACACAAGCAGTTATAGGCAAACACAGGCAGTCACAAACACACAAACAGTTATAGGCAAACACAGCCGTCACAACCACACAAACAGTTATAGGCAAACACAGGCCGTCACAACCACAAAAACAGTTATAGGCAAGCACAGGCCGTCACAACCACACAAACAGTTATAGGCAAACACAGGCAGTCACAACCACACAAACAGTTATAGGCAAGCACAGGCAGTCACAACCACACAAACAGTTATAGGCAAACAAGGCAGTCACAACCACTTTTATAAACAGAAGTTGTGGTAAACACAGGCGATTCACAACCACACAAACGGTTATAGGCAAACACGGGCATTCACAACCACAAGCAGTTGTGTGTGTGTGGTAAACACAGGCGGTCACAGCCACTACAACAGTTATAACTATGTAGGTAAGAGCGAGGGCAGTCACAACCACACAAACAGTTATAGGCAAACACAGACAGTCACAACCACACAAACAGTTATTGGTAAACACAGGCAGTCACAACCACACAAACAGTTATAGGCAAACACAGGCAGTCACAACCACACAAACAGTTATAGGCAAACACAGGCAGTCACAACCACACAAACAGTTATTGGTAAACACAGGCAGTCACAACCACACAAACAGTTATAGTCAAACACAGGCATTCACAACCACACAAACAGTTATAGGCAGCCAGACACAGCCAGTCATAACCACACAAACAGTTATAGGCAAGCACAGCCGTCACAACCACACAAACAGTTATAGGTAAACACAGGCAGTCACAACCACACAAACAGATATAGGTAAACACAGGCAGTCACAACCACACAAACAGATATAGGTAAACACAGGCAGTCACAACCACACAAACAGTTATAGGTAAACACAGGCAGTCACAACCACACAAACAGTTATTGGTAAACACAGGCAGTCACAACCACACAAACAGTTATAGGCAAACAAGGCAGTCACAACCACACAAACAGTTATAGGTAAACACAGGCAGTCACAACCACACAAACAGTTATAGGTAAACACAGGCAGTCACAACCACACAAACAGTTATTGGTAAACACAGGCAGTCACAACCACACAAACAGTTATAGGCAAACAAGTCACAACCACACAAACAGTTATAGGCAGTCACAACCACACAAACAGTTATTGGTAAACACAGGCAGTCACAACCACACAAACAGTTATAGGCAAACACAGGCAGTCACAACCACACAAACAGTTATTGGTAAACACAGGCAGTCACAACCACACAAACAGTTATAGGCAAACACAGGCAGTCACAACCACACAAACAGTTATTGGTAAACACAGGCAGTCACAACCACACAAACAGTTATAGGCCAACACAGGCAGTCACAACCACACAAACAGTTATAGGCAAACACAGGCAGTCACAACCACACAAACAGTTATAGGCAAACACAGCCGTCACAACCACACAAACAGTTATAGGCAAACACAGGCAGTCACAACCACACAAACAGTTCCAGGCAGTGACACACACTCACAGACACTCATACACACAGGTACAGGCAGTGGTGTATTTTGGATTTGTGCTGCCCTAGGCATGACAAAACTGTATGATGTCATATTCCGGCTCCGGCATCACCACTGGGTGCACAAGGGAGCTGAGCAGGAAGAGTTGAGAGGGTGGCTCTCCCTTGCCACCTTGCTGAATTATAAGCTGCCAGTCGGCCAGTGTTTTTTGCCGCCCAAGGCAAATGCCTTGTTAGCCTCGTGTTAGATATGACCCTAAATACAGGCAGTCAGTCATATACACACACACACACACACAGGCAGACCGTCACACACAGTTAAAGAAAGACAGTTATCGCTTTCCGTTATGGGCACTGGAGAGGGAGTGAAGGCACTTCAGTTCCTGGTGTCTAGTGGTTGGGGAAAGAGGGACACCTTCCTGCTTCCCCCTCAGTATGCAGCAGTTACCAGACAGAATATGACCCTGCCAGGTTTCCTGTATCAGTGCTGCAGCTTCCTCTTGCAAGACCTGGGTGCCGGACGACCATGCAGTGACCTGCAGGACAGGGGTGCGCAAAGCACCTTTCACAACGAGACGGCCTGCCCCTAAACCTTACTGCGTGAACTCCTCCCTTACTTGCGAGGAGGTCACGCAGGTTTATGATGTGATGTCATATACAACTGCCCACTCTCTTCTTGTTGGTGCAGCGGCTCCAAGCTTTTAAAGATCTGCCACGGCACAGCTGACCCACACGAGAAGGAAAACAAACAAGTGAGTATTCTCCTTCTTTTGTGGATGTTACACTTTACCACAAATGCTATATGGCCAGCCCTAGCAATATCCACACAGCAGGGGCAAATGTAGACCAGGTCCTGTGTGTGCAAGCTATGTCATTCACCCAGTGCCCCTTTAGCCATGCAGCGTGCGGCCAAACAGCTCGCACACACATCTATGGCTGGCACTGAAAGGGACACTTCACTACCCAAATAAAAAGCACGGTTTAGTATTATAGCCCCAGTGCTAACATACTTGCATTATAATTGGGGGTAGATCTAAAAACAGGCTTCTTTTGTCTGAAGCCTTTGCAACCCTTCTCTTCTAACCCTGCCCAGACTTTCTGTGGCTGTCTAATTACAGACTTCACAATGCAGCTCGATGAGAAGTCTTGCAAGGCAGGTGCTCTGGGCAGTTGCAGACTTCTTGAGTTCCACGGAGCTAAACTATCGGGAAATAACAAAAGCGTGTGTCTGATTGACAGCCAGTGGGGTGTTACAAGGTTGATTTATTAAAGTGCTAATTTTTATTTAAATCTGCACTTTTTATTAAAAATTATTATTGGGTCTCCCTCTGCACAACCCCCAACACACATACTGACAGTCATATTCTACTGTACTGTACTAACATTCATGTAACATGTATATTCATATACACACTCATAATTACATCCATACACTTTACTTTTAATTTATTTTTAACACTGTGTTCCTCCCAGCCTGTTCTTACCTTGACTGCGACAACTGGAGTGGAACCTCATCACTGGTGCTGCTGGGTTTAGTCTCTGTATACTTATTTTCCAGTTCTGTGTTGCTCTGTACTGTTGCCAAGGCTGGGATTATATTTATATCCCCAGCTCAAATAACAGTACAGGGCATGCAAGTAGAAGTCCTCTCTGTGCCAGGACCTTCATCACAATCACAGAGCAGGCACCTGCCGTATGGTGCCCGCATGAGCAAGGTCCCTTAAGCAGGTGCCTACTGTGGCAACAGTGGGGTGTGCTATGCACCACCTTGTCACACAGAGTGAACTGGCCAGACCTCTTTTGTATGCCTTTGCTTGGGAGTTGTGGTAAAGTGTTTCAAATGTTACACTCTTACCTGGGTCCCTGCTGAACGCCAAGGCTCTTTTCAGTTCTGGTGAAGTGCATCTGCAGAGGTGAAGAAGCT